TTTCTTTCTTTAACTTGACCCCTGCATCAGTTCTTTATTGTGTTGCTTTTGATCTGGGCAAAAACCATGGCAGGTTGCCTCTCTTCAGGACCATAAAGACCATCTGCTCTGTAATTTCTCTTTTAAATGCCTTTAAAAGATAGAAGGACATTACCTATATGTCCTAATTTCCCTCTAGGAAATATTAGATGCCCATTCTTTTACCCTCTTTCCTGACTAAGATTCATTTTGGATAATCTTAATACCTAAGGGCAAACTGCAAATATGATTTATCAAAGAAGAGCCTGACAACAAATCAAACTTTAATCCAAATTTTATAATTTTTCACTAGTGATATATAATCTTAAACTTATAAAAATTACAAATGTTTCAATTAAATGTTATAATTATTCCAGACAAGGGTGAGAAATGTACCCAGCATGCTTCTTTTTTCTGTCTTCTCCTTTAGAAAATAAGACATCTACCAGTTTTGTAAAACTATCCAGATGAAAATCACTCGAATGCTCTGTTTTCAATAATAATATGAATCTATTGATCTGAATGGCTTCCCATTGCCAATTAAATCAAGAGCTTCTATTCTTCCTGCTTCCCAGAGTTTCATAAAATCTGACTATGTCTTACCTCTAAAAGTAATAATAGTTCATACTCATTGAGCATTTGCTATATATCAGGTGTTGTGCCAAACATTTTACTTTTGCTAACTGAAATAATAATTCCAAGAAGTCTACAAGGTAAGTACTGATGATTTGTAAAGTCACAAATGTGTAAATTGAAGTTAGGGAAGACTGAGTACCTTTCTCAGAGTCTCAAAGCTAGTGATTGACAGACAAGATACAGACTCAAGTCTGACTGATTTTAGAATCCTTCTCTTAACCCCTACAAGATGTTGTCTGCCATCCAAACACCTCTAGAAAATTGATGCTTTGTTTCATTTCCCCTATTGTTAGGTCTTCAGCCCTCCCTCTTCCAGTGAGTTTCAACCTCTCGCCTGCTCTAACCTGTTCACCTTGAGTCCCTCCTGATAAACAACTAATTGTTGAGCTCTCTACAGGTCTTTACAAATTGTGAGGTAGCAATTTTTTTTCCTGAAATATGTTTGTCTTGAGCTGTTGCCAAGGTTTAGACCAATGTCTGTTTAATTAGATTATTGTTGTCAGGGCTGAGCGGATCATGTCGGCTACATCAAGTGTCAGCGATATTGCTGATTGTGAAAGGAAGGTTCTTCTTCTGCATAGAAAGTGAGGCAGAAGTGCACACAATAGAATTGCACTTCCCAGCAGAAGTGCACTCATGTCTGCCTCTTGTTCATTCTTCCAACTGGGTGTCTCACCATCAAACCTTCTCTTCTTTATCAGCAATACCACTGACACGATCCTCTTGGCCCTGACAATCGTTCTTATCTTGCTGTTTGTTTTAAAATTGTCCTATCTATTTTGCCTTTTCACTTTCTTCTGCCTTCTTTTGGATTGAATAAATTTAATAGTTTCCTTATGCTTTTTTTGTTGTTCTATTGGCTAAAACCCTTTATTTTATTATTTTAATGGTTGCTGTAAGGTATATAGTACATACATTTCTTTAACTTATCTCAGTCTACCTTCAATTGTTATTATACCTTTTCATGTATAGAATAAGACCTTTTGACATTTTATGACATTTTCTCCTTCCTGGACTTTATGCTTATTGTCAAACATTTCATTTATAAATTTGTTACCCCCCAAAACATAGCTATTGGTTTTATTTAAACAGTCTAAATATATTTAAATAATAAGAAATATGTTATTTATCCTGTAATTACCATTTCTGGTGTTCATTCATTTGCATAGATATGTATTTCTCTCTGGTATTGTCTTCATTTTACCTAATGGTATTCTTTAGTGTTTATCACATGGATGTGCTGCTGTTGAATTCTTTTAATTTGTTTTGTCTGAAAACATCTTTATTTTGCTTTCTTTTTAAAAAGATATTTTCACTGGGTATGACATTTTACTTTGACAAGTTTTTAATTTTTTTTTCCAGAAATTTAAAGATGTTGTTGCTTCACTGTATTCTCACTTGTATTATTTCCAATGAGAATTATTCTGCCATTCTACTATTTGTTCTTCTCTACAGAAATATGTCATTTCTCTATGGATATTTTTTAAAATTCCACTTTTTTCCCCCTTATTTTTGAAAATTTTGATTACGATGAGCTTTGGATGTAGTTTAATTCATGTTTCTTGAACTAGAGGTTTGTTGAGAGATTTGTGGGTTTAGAGTTTTCAAAAAATTTTCATCCATTATATATGCAAATATTCCATCCTCCTTCTTCAGAGACACCAATTACGCAATTGTCCAATAGATTACCATCTCTGCTCTACTTTTTGAACATATGGAATACAGTTATAACTGTCTTATTTCACTCTTCTGCCAATTCTAGCATTTGCATCAGTTCTGTATTGGTCTTGATTGGTTGATTATTTTCCCTGTTTTTAGCTGTGTTTTCCTGGTTCTTTGCATGCCTAATAATCTTTAATTAGATATTAGATGTCATTAATTTTTCCCTGTTTGCCAACCATTTTAGTATGAATATTCTTGAGTTGGGTTCTGAAAGACAGCTACACTACTTGGAATCAAGTTTAGTTTTTGCTTTTATGATTTGTTAGGCAAATCCAAAGTAGCATTCAATTAATAGTTAATTACTCTTTACTGAAGCAGGACCTTTCTGATATTAATATTCAATGTATTGTGAGCTTTTCCAATTTTATTGGTGAGAAATGGCACTTTTACTGACTCTATATAGATGCTAGGCACCTTACTTGCTAGTCTTTCAGTTGGTTCTTTTCTTGACCTGCAGTAGTTTCAGGCCAAGAAAAAAATACACATGCACTGTTAATGAGTATGCCGAAATTTGAGATTCCTTCGTAGATCTCAGGGATTTTTTTTTTCCCTCTGTGCAGTCTTGAGCACTCAGCATTGACTAAGTCAAATCTGTGGTTAGATGTCTTTAAACAAAATCTCTTCTTCCAGTTTTCTGATTGTAGCTGTTTCTTAATTTTCCCTGTTAAGAAAGTCAATACTATCTTATATAAGTATCTGTTCACTTATCTGTCTCCCTTGAAGGGAAAATAATTGATTTGTAAATTGCTATATCCATATTACATAGTATGAATTAAAAGTATTTGTTGTTGGATGAACAAGACAGAATTCTCAATCATTTCTATAACTCAGAGATAGGAGTTCAGTCCAGGAATCTAGGAGGCTAATGAAAGACATAGGTATATCTGGAAATTTTAAACAAGATTCCAATAATGAGAGTCAAATATCAGATGTAGTGAGTAAAGGAATCAATATCCTCTCTTGGGCTTTTCAGGTTTTATATACTAATAATATCAAATATTAAATATATATTTTATGTTCTATAGTAACTAAGAGTTTAAAAAACTCCCTCTCCTCTTTACCAAAGTAGACATCTCTCTTTGACACAGTCGAAGTGCATTTTTCATGGGTTCTTAACTTGTGGAGGAAAGTTTTCAAAATGTCTTTGCCTTCACTCCAAAAATTAGATTATTATACATTTGCAGACTGAGGAACTGTGAGTAGAAGGCTAAGTAGAAATGGAGATTTTTATAAACCCCTCTCTGTCTTCTCACCAAGGCTTCCCTCTAAGACTTGGACTCTCTGTTGCTTATCAACTCCAGAAAGTTGTTGATCCTTTTGTTTCCCATTTTTCCCCCTGATAATGCAAGGGCTATAATTGTATTTCTTAAAATTTTCCATTTTTTAGAAGGCTCTGAAGTTTTTGGCAAAATTTAAATTCAGATTGACACCACTGTTCTCCCTGTGGCTGTTTCTAGTTCCGTGAAACTCTTGTTCTTTGAGCTCAGAATAGTCTTTATTTGGAAGACTGGTCTGCCTCCTTCTTCAGATACTTAGCCTAGAAGCAGTTATCTGGCCACCATCTCCCAAGAGCATATTTCCTTTCAAGAGCAAAGCTAAGGATCATGAAAGGTCTTGGCCCTTGCCCTGTGGGTAGGAAATAGCCCACTACAGCATTATTACCCCACCTGATAGCTATGTGATTTTTGTCATTCCTGAAAAACATCTTTTATAGTTGATCTGGGTAATGAAAACAAATTAAATGGACACCGATTTCAGGCAGTTTAAAGTCACTTTGTATGGATTAAGAGAGGCTAATCTTAATATATACTTTTAATTCAGAAATAAACCCCAAACTTCAAGACGCTCATTTGATCGTAGCTGTTTCTCAATTTGTTCAATATATTAGGTGTGCTTAGTGGCAGATTCTGAAGTAGAAATCCAAACAGGTAATGAGTATAATCCAATTTGCATGTAATCCAATTGTTTTAGAGAAAAGATTAATTAAAAGAAGTGGTAGGTTAATTTAAATCAAACAAGGCCAAACCTCTGTTCTGAGTTTAAATTTCTGACCCATGTTTGTTTTCCTGGATAAAATATAGAAGTCTGCATTGGATAAATAGCAATGCCAGAAAAAAAGTTAAGAATCACATTAAATCTTTCACAATAACAGATGGTCTTCACCAAAACAAGCTCGTTTCACCCAATGTATATAATAACATCAATTTTTATAAATAAGATTAAGTATCTTTTACAAGTGAGAGGGATGGGGGCTGTGGGTAGAAGGAAGTACACCCCATAACTTCCTCTCCCTTCATATCCATTCATAATTGCACATTTTCCCCATTTATATTTTTACAGGCACACAGATTATTACATTTATGTAGCCAAGATAATGCCAGCAAAGACTAGGTCCAGCTTTGCAGCACATTTCTGTGGTGATTGTGACAAGCTTTGATAAATAACCCAGTTGACAACTAAATTTATCTTGGAGCAGAGAATAGCATCGAAGGAGAGGGTGGTTTTACTCTTCCTATCCAGAAATCACCTCTGCTATCCAAAACAATATTTAGCAAGGGGCATTGTGGATGTAAAAGAATATATTACTTATTTATAGCATCCTTTTTGTTGTTCTTTGTCTACAGAGACTGAAAGAATTAAAGCAGCGGGAATTTGCTCGAAATGTAGCTTCCAAGTCATGGAAAGATGAGAAGAAACAAGAAAAGGCACTTAAACGACTCCATGAGCTGGCTGAGTTGAAGCAACAGTCTGAATGGTAAAAATTAGGGGTGTCTCAGATGGCTCAAAATTCTCTTCGACCTCTGAGGAAAGTTCAATGATCAATTTACTTGGTTCACTGTAGTAACATAAGTAAATTATAGTTAATCAACAAATATGTCTTAGGGCAAATGTTCCTAATAGTTAAAGGTTTATAAATTAATCACTTTGGTATCTGATGTTTTTTCTTCCCAATATCATTAATTTAATGTACTCTTTAATGAAATGATCCAAGAATGATTCTAATATACTAGCATTTATTCTATCCATTTGATTTCAATTGACCTATATAGCTCTTTAGTAATTATTTTAAGTTTTGTTATAATAATTTTAAAACCATAAATAACAATCAATCTTTTTAAGAGGGAATAAATCTTTTGTACATTTCCCTGCACACACCTGAATATAGAATAAATGACACTAGCATTGTCTGGACAAACAAGATGTAATTAATGCAGTGAAATTTAGCTTTTAAATTATAATTATAATAAGGATACACAAACACATTTTCATAACTGAAAAATAGCAATTTTATATAAGATTGGGATTGCTGGATATTTCAAAGTGAGGAGATTGTTACCTGAAACTCAATTAAATTTTCAGATTGTTATTTATGTTCATATGAATCATAATGTAGAACACTAATATAGTTAATTAATGTAGTTGACAGCAATCTGGTGAGTTGTGACATTTATATCTCTGTGCCAGAATTTAAACTCCTGTCATTTAAGTGAAAAACAATATACAATAAATTTGGAAGTGAACGACTCAATTATTATATCATAAAATTAGACCTCAAATTTGATTCTAAGAAAATATTTACTTTTTAAGATCAGTTATGAGTAGTGTATGAGTTAGTATTCAGCTTACATATATTTATGTATTTGCACATGTTATCAAGATAATTTAAATTATGAAAATACATGAAATATAATCAGATTAAAAATAGGTGGGAAATTTGATATGAAGAAAAAATAAATGTTAGAAAAATGTGTATCCAGAGGTGAGGTTAATACAAAAATGCATGCATGCTCTGAGGTCTTATAAAATCATAGAAATAGGACACACATTTGATACTGGCTTTTTATTTGCCAACACCATGAGGATCTTAAAATATGTTTTGAACCCATTGTCAGTAAAATATCAGACAGTCCTTGTCAAAACAGAACTTAGAAGGAAACGTTTAATGGTTATTAGAGGAAAAAAAATCTAGAGAAGCTGTTAATTACTGAATGATTAATTATGAAGTGCAATATGTCAGATTATAAAAAACAGAACAAGGCTCAATATAGAAAAACACCTTTCAGACAGGTCTTTTAAGGACGCACGACAGAAAATCTTAGAAACCTTGATAAACATAATTTTGGGTTTTCTTTTGTTATTATGAAGGTTGTCACATTTTTACATTTCTACTCACCCATTCCATATTTTCTTTTGGGAGAAATAGACAAAGGATCAGAGGAACTTTGATAATCATGATAGTGATGATGATAATGCTTTTGTTTAAAAGTTACAAGTTTGCAGAGCTACCCAAGTGTCTTCCAAATTACAACAAATTAAAATATCCACCCTACTGAGGTTGAGCTGTCCTTCTAGAAATCTTATTAACTAAACAAATACAAACTTAAGCACTTCCTCTATGGAGTAGGCAGATTCCATATGTCTCAGTCATTGTTAGGAAAACAATAGGTGTTCAGCTTTCCAGCTTGGAGCTAGAGAAATTATTTCATTCTTTTCTACAACCTAACATCTGCCTCGCAGACAATTGTTCTCTCACTTAAGCAGGCTATAGCCTAAGGAAAGTCACAATAGAATTATTTAATATTTTCATTTTGGCAGCTGAATAGACAAGGAAAGTAAGAAATAAAATGAAAAAGAAAAAGAATCACCTTTATGTATTACTCCTCTTCTAGATTACCTTTCTTTGTTTTTTATTCTCATAATGAGGGCTTAAGAGTAGGATGATATAGGTAACAAGAAGATTTTTTTCATAACTCAATGGAGAAAAGAGGTGAGTTTACTAGCAGTAAGAATATGTGAATCAGACTGATTTGTAAACTGATGGCAGGAATTGTTAATGGATCTTATAAAAGGCATTAAATTTTGGCCATCTTTTGGGTAGTTCGACATAATTTGGTTTCTTGCAAGACCAGTTATTGTATGCAGGGAGATGTGCTCTGTTTGTAAACTTCTATATGTGTAAATCTAAGTATGGTGCACCTTGATAAGGACATTTTTCCATATTTCAACAATTGAAGGACCACTGATTCTGAGAATATGAAGTTCCTTATATAAGAGCTGGATAATGTGAGACATTAGAAATTACATCATGTAAAGAAGTCATGTTGTTTCGATGTGTTTTATTTCCTGTTAGAAAAGTATACTTTTAGATTATGCATGTGTTGAGTTGCCAAGAATTAGAATTTTTCCAAAATAATAAAGATAAATTAGATTTAACATAAAGGAAATTGTCAGCAGTGAGATCAAAAGTTTAAGTATGACAATAAGAGGTATACAAGATTAATAATGAGGATAAATGTTAAAATGTGCAACAATATAATATTATATTTTATATAATATATATAATATAATAATAAAAATATGTTGGATTGTAAAGTGAGCATGAGAATTAAAGACAAGAAAAAATATATAATACAAAAACAATAAGATCACAGAGCTTTAAAAATATTTAAAAGAATATAAAAGGAAGAAGCTTGCACATTAGAGGGATAAATGGTAAAATAAAGCAGCAATACAGAAAAGAACATCTAGACTAACATAAATCAAAGCAAGAAAATGCACAAAACAGTATTAGCATAATAAGCAAAATATTATTAAGGAAAAAGTATGTAGAGAGAATATAAAAATAGTAAAATATTTGCATCATAATGGAATTAGGAGGGATAGAATGATAATAACCATACACCAGGCTTTCGGAATAATTTCTGCTGTTTAGTGCAAATATCAGATTGAATGAAGTTTGTACAGAAGGTCATTTAATACAGAATTATAGTTTCTATTTAATCCAAAATGCGGCTGCAAATATGGAAAAAAATCTCTGGCACTGAGGCAAAATTCAGTGCTGCAGTTGTTTCTGGACTCCATCCTTCTATCTCTAGGTACTTTCAGAGACCTGTAACTATAGTAAACCTCAATGCTTCCTACTTTCCTTTATGTTTAAAAGAAATATTCAATAAACCATAAATCTTAGAGTATTTTTTCATTTTGCATATTAAATATACTTAAATATACTCACTAAAAAACATTTTTAAAAGATTCAAAAAAGGAGATTAATGTGATGAATAAGAGGAAAGTTTTTGTGTTGAAATATTTACTATAAAAAACAGAATATATTTTTATAACATTTCTAAATTTAGTTTCTGTACAATTCAAGGGAACGCTGTAACTCTAAAGTTACAGCCATTATTTTATGGAGAACAATCTGAAATTAGTAAAGATTGAATAGTTGATGAAATTATTGCCTGTAAATTAAAATCCATATGATCGTAGTAAACAACAGATTAGACATAGTAAAAAATTGAATCAGTCAAATAGATATTAAAAATAAGAAATTCTTTCTGAATTAGAGAAAAAGACTAAAGACACTGAAGTATTGAGATAAATAATAAGACCTGAAGATATTTTCAGGTGAGCCAATAAATTCAGGACAAGAAACTAGGACAGGGAAGAAGCAATAATCAGAGAAATCTGAGAAGATGTGTCTGAGCTGAATAAAGTTGAAAGTATCCAACAGTGCTGCTTAAAAATAACCAAAAGTAATCAATCTATAACTATGATCTGGTAAGATATTATAGATATAATGTATTATATAATAATAATTATAACAAAAGTATATATTATAAATAAAACAATAGTCTGTATAACAAATATAATCAAATATATAAATAAAAAGTAAAAATTATAAAATCATACAAGTACTCAAGCATATTCATTTCAAAATTGAATAAATGGAGGCTAATTAAATATGACCCTGCAGTATTAAACATGTAAAAACAATGAAGCAAAGTACATGAAATTTGGTGGACAAAAGAAATGTGACTCCAGATTTCTATGCCGATTGGCCAAATAGTCACAGGTGAAGGCAATAAGAAAGAATTTCTCAAACCAAGGGCCCAGAGAGCACTCCTCTCCATTAAAATTTAACTACACGTACAAAAAGTATGAGTTGTTTTAGTATTATAACTTCAGCAAGAAATGGCTGAATGAAAATGAAATAAAAACATAATACAAAAAATAAGTCAAATACACATATCTAAGCGTGTGAAAAAAGAAAAGGAAAAGAAATTCAGCTCAAAGCGAACAATAGATCATTGACGTAGTTTGTATTGCCTTCCCCCATTAAGGCCTTGTTTTGTAGTAGAGGTTTTATACAGAAAACATTAAAGAGAAATTTTAAAGACTTTTGTCCCTTACACTATTGCTGTTTTCAGTTTTCCGATTGAATTACTAATTATGCTCAATAGAATGAATCCTCTTTAAAAAGCTATTAAAAGATAAAACATATATATGCACAAAAGGTAGAAAGAAAATATTTTGGTGAATAAGAAGCAAAAGAAAAGATTTCAAGATAATTGAAGATATAAGGAGGGCTTTGTAAAGGTTTCACTTTATTATGCATTTATTATAATTTGTCAAAATAGCAACAAGTCATAAAGAAAGAACTAACCCCCCTGTTTCAAAAGGAAGCAAGAAAGCAAACATGAATGGATATTAAAACTGAGGAAATAAAAATGACAAAATGCCAAAACTTAAAAAAAACAATTAAAGATATATTTTTATACTTTGGAAGTGACTTTTATTTCCATTTGATTTCTTATTTAATGTGAAGCACTGATTGACAACTTTTGTGAAAAAATATTAACTCTTTCAAAAAAATTGATACGTTCTAGAGGACATATATTGTGATCTAAATGAAATACTTTGTTTTCTTTTGCAGCACTAACATATTTACCTGCTATTGCCTTTTGTTAATTAAAAAAAAAAAAAATCCACATTTAAATGATGCAGTTTAGAACTAGCCACAATAAAAAAGATATGCTGACATATATAAGCACAGTGAAATGGTTATATTGTAGTAAACATAGTTCATAAATAGTAGCATAACCCATCATAGAAATTCTATGAAATGTTCACATGTAGATAAGTCTTCAAATCTAATTTCTTAATCATTTTAATATTTATTATATTTACAGTACTTCTGGAAATGGACCAGCATACAAAGCCCCCAGGGTAGCCATAGAAAAGCAACTCCAGCAAGGAATTTTCCCAGTTAAGAATGGCAGAAAAGTATCATGCATGAAGAGTGCTCTTCTCCTTAAAGGGAAAAATCTCCCCAGAAGCATTTCTGATAAACAGCGGTCTACTGTGCCAAATCGACACCAGCTACAGACAGACAGACTTTATTTGTTTGGGAATCGTGTACCACAAACATCTTCAGATCTCGGTAATGCAAATCACAGGACAGGAGTATCATTTTCTTTTTCCAAAAAAGTGCATGTAAAATTAGAATCCTCAGCATCAGTTTTCAGTGAGAACACAGAAGAAACCCATGATTGTAACAAGTCACCCATCTATAAAACTAAACAAACTGTGGAGAAATGCAAATGCCCTAGGTTTGCAAATGAAGGTACACACCTCACTAAGGAAAAAGATATAAACATCTCATCAAGCCATCTGGAAAGTGTTTTACATAATACCTTCTCCATAAGCTCTCACATTTTGCAAGACACAAATGACTCTATTGATGAAACAATAGAAGGTTCGACTGGCATTCATGCTTCCTTCTCTAAATCTAACATTTATCTTTCAGATATGGATTTTCCTCCTTCCATTAGAGGAAAAGAAACCAGAAATACACTGAAGAACCCTTCAGAAAGCTACATTGATCACGCATGCCAAGCAAATTCTTCCTCCGGCCCACCAAACATTTCCAAGCACAGTGATACCAGGCTATTTGAATGTCTGGATGAGTTTCCATCACTGGAGCCAAGTGAGCAAAACAGTCCAGTGAGTCTTAATCCCAACTCGAGAACGGAGAAGAGAGAAAAATCTTCAGACGAAACAAGAAGAGTGAGCAAAAATGTGCAAGGGCTTATAAGAGAAGCATGTCCCCATGATGTGAAATCTAAACCATTGCCTTTTCTCCATGTACAAAGCAAGGATGGCCGCACAACTCTCCAATGGCCTACAGAACTTCTGCTCTTTACAAAAACAGAGCCCTGTATCTCTTATGGCTGCAACCCATTATATTTTGATTTTAAGCTTTCTCGGAACATGAAGGATGGCCATGATCCAGAAGATTTAAAAACAGAATTGATGAAGGAGCCATTAGAAATGAAGAATAAAATAGAGAGCCATGTCTCAGGTTTAATCAAAGACCAACAAAAATTGATCCAAGAAGATAATCGATCTTCGAAACCAAAGATGATGATAGCTAATGCAGATTGGGAAATCTTCCAGAGAAAATATCATTTGGGCTACAGTGATTCTGAGCCAGATATGAGTAAACATAATTTTAGTGCAAGCGATTTGGAAATAAAAAATCATGAAGTGCCTGCTTACCTTGCTATCTCTCGGAAGAATTGTGTAGGAAATAATAGTAATAGTGATAATGAACTTGAACCTTCAAGGGCCCATTGGCAAAGCTGCCGAAGGGTGGTTCTAAATGATGGAAATGAGGATCTATCTTTTACACCTTACATCTCTAGGACTAAAAACCATAAACTGATTCCCTGTGATCCTCATTCAGATTTTGAAGATGGAAATCAATTCACTTGGAATTCTAGTTCTTACACAGTAAGGGGTCACAATGACCATGGGAAGGACTTTGGTGTGATTTTAAATAGTAACCACATCAGCATGACCAGCACTGTCTCCGGATGCAGAAACCGAAGTTCCCCAAAGTTGTCTCTAACTAGACGTTCTAGCCCTTCAGACACATCCCCTGACAGTACATCTAGCTTGAAAAGTACTTGTTCAAGTCATAGCTGCAGCGGTAATGGTGGAGGTAATTTGCTCTACTTCTGTAAAAGAGAACACAGCTCAGTTAAAAGGCACAAAGGGAAATGTCAAAAGCGCAGCTGCCTCTGCTCGTCCGATGAAATGGCAAAGAGCGACGACCGCCTGCCAACCGAATCACAGAGAGATAGAAACAGAAACTGCAAATTGTGGGGATCAGTTAAAAATGAAAAATACTCAAAACATAAATATGGTCCCTGCAGAGAAGGATACAAACTGGGCAAAAATCAACAATTTTCAAGGCCAAAATCCAGAAGAATCATGGGTTGTGATACTAGCTCACAGATTTCCTATGCTGGGAACAGTGGAAAACCACCTAATTGCCAGAGACCTAAGCACAGCAGATCAGGCTCTTACTCAAGAGAGAGAATTTATTACTTAAATAAAAGCGAAATGAGTCAACAGTCTTTGCACAGCCCTCATATTTGTGATCTGGGCAAAGTAAAACCCATACAGTGTAACTCTGGGAATATCAGCTGCCTTCTAAGGAACTGTTCCAGCCATCATTCAGAATCCAGAGAGTCAAATGTTACAGAAGAAGAGAAAACCTCCCGGACGGCCAAAAGCCTTTTAGAAAGAGTTCAAGCTAAGAAGTGTCAGGAACGATCGACTAATTTTGAAATCTCTTCAAATAGTTGTAAAAGTGAGTCAGAGGCTCATTCACAAATCCAATGCACAATTGAATTTACACCACCAGGCTGTAACAGACAAGCATCACCTTTACAGAACACAGGCAAAGGGAGAAATGATAAAGGCAATGCAACTCAAAGAACTCTTGAGAAAGACAAAGTAAACAGTTCACAGACAAATAATTTTACTGTTTTAGTGGATACTGATTGTGATAACCATCTTTCTAACGGCATAATTCACGTAGTAGCAGAGTCTCAGTCACCGAACATGAAAAAGAACCCAACAACAAAAGAACAATCAAAATCTCTAATGAGTGAATGCCAACCTTTTATTCAAAGTTGTGACCAAGTACCAAATGATTTCCTTGGTGCTTTTCCATCTAATAGACATACCGGTATACCTGATTCAACAGAGACCAAAGAGGACCAAATAAACCTAAACTTACAGGATGTGAGCATGATTATAAATCATGCAGAGGGGAATATAAACTCTTTCTATGACAGAACTATGCAGAAGCATGACAAAGTTGCAGATGAATTAGAATTGTGTCATAAATCCATCTCTCCCCCTTTAATTCAACAGCCAATAACATTTTCTCCTGATGAAATAGATAAATATAAGCTCCTACAGCTACAAGCCCAGCAGCATATGCAGAAACAGCTCCTATCAAAGCACCTTCGAGTGTTGCCTGCTACAGGGCCGACTGCCTTCTCCGCAGCCTCAGCGGTACAGACGGTCCCAGTTCACCAGCACGCTTCTTTCACCACCATCCGCCACACGTTCCTGCAGCATTTTGCTGTTTCTGCTTCCATAAATTCCCAGAGCAGTCACCTCCCTATAGCTCATTTACATCCTCTTTCACAGCCACCTTTTACTTCATTTACGTTTTCACCTCTGACTCCAACCATCATCCCCACACATCCCACTTTTATAGCAGGTCATCCCCTGCATTTAGTTACTGCTGCCCCCTTCCACCCATCTCACGTATCACTTCAGCCACTGCCCCATGCAGCATTTATCCCCACATTGTTTGGCCCTCACTTAAACCCAGCCGCAACTTCTATCATCCACCTGAATCCTTTAATTCAACCTGTGTTTCAAGGTCAAGATCTTTGCCGTCATTCTTGTTCCAGTCAGATGCAACAGTTAAATGGAGTGAAAGAGGCCTTAAATGTGTCAGCGCACTTAAACTAATAGATGTCAAAGCCCCCTCTTTGGATAATTAAAATAAATTGTCACTATCTACGAAATGATATGTTTAAAGTGTATGTGATTATTATAAGATGTAAATATTGGTGCCAATTCAAAATATGATCAATGTATAAATATGCACTGAATTACCAATATTGAAATCAGAGCATTCTAAGAATTTTTTTTTTAACTTTGAAAAATAATAGGGTAAATTTAAAATAATTTTATGGAAAGGTAGAGGGAAAAGATCTGTTTTGGATGAGTTATCACAATATTAGAAATAATAACAGAAAATCAGGCAGATCATTAATACTACAAAGAAAATAAAATGGAACATAATAATATATGTTCTAGCTGTTTGTTGAGTGAATGAATGAATGAATGCGCATTTGGTTTTATTCATCAGATAATAATAAAAAGTCAGTGAAATGAACTAATTATTAAAAATAATAATTTCTATGGTTAACTATTGACTAAGCTTTTAATCCATATAATCTGTTTCAATCAATGTAATCTATATTTTCATAGGAAATAAGAGATGGCAAGAAATTTTCTGGTTAATTTCGAGTGACAACTACTCTTCAGTGGAGAACAATCTTTACACAGATTACACTTGCATTGTTGATTTTCTGTGAAAAATTGGGTTATCTTTTTTCCACACGTATCTATGTCAAGAAAATTTTGAAATTGTAAGAATCACCATCTAAAATTAAAAATTTAATTTTTGTATGAGAACATGTAAAAACTATCATTAGTATTTGATAATGCAAAATAAAAAAATAAAATATAATCAGAATATTATTTTGAATATATCAGTCAATCTTTCAAATATTAAAGAGACTAAATATATGTAGAGCCAATATATGTAGAGAGGTAAAGGTTTGGAAATGTCAGAATTTTTACATGTTATTTATTGAGAAAATGTTAAAAAGTATTTGGTGTGTTTTATTCAATTGCAATAAACGTGTATAAAATACAGTGAATGATGATGAATAAAATCACCATTCATATAATTTTGCAAATGATTTTAAAGATTTATTCAAAAAAATTTCTGGCCCACAGAATTTGCATTTCTTACATCTATATTTCTGAATGGCCTTCTAGTTAGGTTTATTATTTTATATTCTTAAAATGAGAGGAAAACTTGTATGACAATGCATTCACCATAAGAATGAGTTTCAGAGAAAGTCTAACTAAACAGAAATGGAGGTCATCACTCATCCACCACTGTGTCCTCTGACTCAAATTCCTCTACCACTGAAAGATAAATAGGACATTTTATTCAGCCTTGGCTTCATGGGGAAGAGAGCTGCAGTTCCTGAAGACCTACTGTGTGTCAAGAGAGTCAAGATAAGCAGTTGGCCCACATTATCTCATTTAATCTTCACAATGACGTATATTTTTTTGAACAAACATTTTATTTTATTTATTTTTTAAATTTATTTTTCAATTACAGTTGATATACAATATTATATTAGTTTCAGGTGAACAGCATTGTGGTTAGACATTTATGTACCTTACGAAATGCTCACCCCAATAAATCTAGTACTCATCTGACATCATACATAATTATTACAATATTATTGACTAGATTTCCCATGTTGCACCTTTCATCCTCATGACTGTTTTTATAACTGGAAATTTGTACATCTTAATCCTTTCCCCTTTTTTATCCATCCCCTCGACCCCCTCCCATCTGGCAACCATTAATTTGCTTTTTGTATCTGTAAGTTTGTTTCTGGTTTATTTGTTCATGTATTTTGTATTTTAGATTCCATACATCAGTGAGAGTATATGGTATTTGTCTTTTTCTGACTTATTTCACTCAGCACAATACCTTCTAGGTCTTTCCATGTTGTCATTAATGGAAAAATTTTATTGCTTTTCATGGCTGAGTAATATTCCATTATATTTACATATCACTTCTTGTTTATCTATTTGTCTCTAGATGGACAGTTACATTGCTTCCATATATTGGCTATTGTAAATAATGCTGCAATAAACCTACAGCATATATCTTTGCAAATTAGTGTTTTAGATATCTTTGGATAAATATCCAGAAGTGGAATGTCTGGGTCACATGATAGTTCTATTTTTAATTTTTTGAGAAACCGCCATACTGTTTTCCATTATGACTGCACAATTTGAAATCCCACTAACAATGCATGAGGGTTCTCTTTTCTCCACATTCTCGCCAACACTTATTCATTGATCTATTGATGATAGCCATCCCGACAGGGGTGAGGTGATATCTCATTGTGGTTTTGACTTGCATTTAACTCATGATTAATGATGTTGAATATCTTTTTATATGTCTATTGGCCATCTGTATGTCCTCTTTGGAGAAATGTCTGTTCAGGTCCTCTGCCCATTTCTTAATTAGATTGTTTGGAATTTTGGGGGTGTTAAATTATATTAGTTCCTCATCAATTTTTGGATATTAACCCCTTATTGGATGTATCATTGGCAAACGTCATCTCTCATTTAGTAAGTTGTCTTTTTGTTTTGTTGATGGTTTTTTTTCACTGTGCAAGAACTTTTTAATTTTATGTACTTCCATTTGTTTATTTTTTCTTTTGTTTTCCTTGCCTGGGGAGACATATCCAAAAAATAGAGGAGGAACAGTATAGAAAAAGCAGGATAGTTGGGACAGAACAGTTTAAATATTCTGTTTAAGATTCCTAATAAATATTGAAGTTGAGATGTTGAGTTGATAGTAAGAAATACGTGTATAAAGTTTGAGTAGAAGTGTGAAGAAAACATATACAGTTGGGAATCATCAGTGTATAGAAAGTATTTGAAACCATTGTCCTGAATAACATCAACAGGGGTAGGTAGGGTAAAGAAGAGGTTCAGACTCAGCACTAGATCACTCTTTAAGAGTAGAAGAAAGAGAAGGAACAAAGAAATGAGACCATGATGCATTTTTAAGTTATATAAGAAAAAAAATCAGAACAATGTTTACCCTATAAAGAAAGTAAAGAAAGTGATTTAAAGAAGTGAGGGTGATCAATCCTGTTACACGTCTCTGAGTCAAGTAAGAGAATGAAAAATTAAGTATCCCTTCGGTTATGTAGTGCCTATTTGTTACCTTGACCAGAGACATTGTGGTGGAGTGGTTGGGGCAAAAGATAGTAAAATATGTGAGAAATTTTATAGAGAGGCAGATTTCATGATTCTCATAAATATTCTTATGGACAATAGCACTGTGTGACGATTGTGTTTTTACAGTTAGTTAAACAATTATACCCAAAGATTTTTGTAACCCGGAATAATTTCATGTTGGAGGGAGAGTTATAGAGACTGGTTACAAGACTTTGTGTTGTATTCTGTTACAGTCAGCCTTGCATAAAATGTGGAAAAGATCATAGAAATATATATCTATCAAAAAAGAAAAATGCAAACCCAACAGAACTGGCAAATGTAGTGAATGACAAAATACAATGTGAAAAAATTCAAAAAATGTAAAAATGGAACAAAATTTGAAAGGTAAAATTTAGCATAAATAAATGTCAAATTTTACATTTATCCTTAATAAATCTCGTACATGTAGATTGTTGCGGAGACAGTCTGGTTCATCAATAAGATGAAGGGTTTAGTAGATTACAAGCTTCAGACCCAATGATGTTAAGAACCTGGTGAAAAAGTTATAAAGTATTAGGTTGTACTTTGGAATTATACAGAATTGGAAAAAGGATTCTTTTTAAGTTTTATTATTATAACTTTATTAATGTATAATTAATATAACATTATCAGCACAGTAACATCCATCACTATACATAGTTACAAATTTTTTTCTCATAAGAACTTTCAAGATCCACTCTTCTAACTACTTTCAAATATGCAATACAGTATCATTCATTATAGTCATCATGCTGTAATTGGATCCCCATGACTTATTTATTCATTTTATAACTGGAAACTTGTACCTTTTGACCCCCTTCACCCATTTTGCCTACCCCCATCCCCCACCTCAGGCAACTATCAGTCTGTTTTTATATACATGAGCTGAGTTTTCTTTGTTTTATTTTGTTTTAGATTCCCCGTAAAAGTGAGATCATATGATATTTATCTTCTTTGTCCAAGTTATTTCATTTAGCATAATGCCCTCAAGTTCTATCCATGTTCTTCCAAATAGCAAGATTATCCAAATAGAAAGATATCATATTTTCTTTATCCATTTATTCATTGATGGACATTTAGTATGTTTCTATGTCTTGGCTATAGTAAATAATGTGCCAATAAACATATGGGTGCATATATGTTTTCAAATTAGTGTTTTCACTTTTTTCAGATAAATACCCAGAAGTGGAATTGCTGGATCATATAGTAGTTGTATTTTTAATTTTTGAGAAACCTCCATACTGTTTTCTATAGCAGCTGCAACAATTTACATTCTTACCGACAGAGCACAAGGATTCTCTTTTTCTCCACATTCTTACCAGCATTTATCTCTTGTCCTTTTGATGATAGCCATTCTAACAGGTGTGAGGCAATATCTCAATGTGCTTGTGATTTGCATTTCCCTGACAATGAGTGATGTAGAGCATCTTTTCGTATACCTGTTGGCCATTTGTATGCCTTCTTTGGAAAAATGACTACCCAGATTCACCGCCTATTTTTTTTCTATTTTTTTTTTTTGCTATTGAGTTGTATGAGTTCCTTATATATTTTGGATATTAACTCCTTATCAGATATATGATTTCAAATATTTTCTTCTGTACAGTGGGTTGCTTATAGTTGTCTTTTTTTCTTTTTCTTATAGTTGTTTTCTTTTTTTTCATTTTGCTTATAGTTGTCTTTTTTTCTTTTTCTTTCTTTTTTTTTTTTTCCTGTGCAGAAGCTTTTTCATTTGATGTAGTATCACTTGTTTATTTTAGCTTTTGTTGCCTTTACTTTTGGTGTCAAATTCAAAAAAAAAAATCATTGTCAAGATTGATGTCAAGGAGCCTACTGCCTATGCTTTCTTCTAGGAGTTTTATGGGTTCAAGTCTTACATTCAA